GTCAACCCCCCCCCCCCTTTTTTTTTGTTAACTGAGTTTTGTCAAAGAACATACATGCACAAGATGCCTACAACATCACTCTTACACTACATTAAAGCCATAATTCCTGTTTTGTATGCTAGTGACCTGAACAAACCAGTGGAGCTTTACTCTTTTTGTTTATAAATGTCACTTTAACCTCTTGATGGAGTTATAGGCATTGTATCTTTCAAGGCATAATGACTCTTGGGAGAGTGGTAAGGAATTCTTTGCTACAGCGTGTACTAACATAACCAGGCCTCCTCAGCAGATACGTTATTGACAGCAACCTCTGCCCTTTCTAATACACCTATGCAAGCATGATTTAACATAATATGAAGGCACGTAATATGAAGGGAACATTAACCTTTTCTGTCCAAAGGAAAGATGGTCTTCTGGTTAAGGCACCAGACCCAGATTATTATGGTTCAGTTTCTGACTGCCTCAGGCTTCTAGTGTGACATTAGACAGTTCAGTTAACCCTCTCTGTTCCTCCATTCTCATCTCAAAAATGGATATAACCTTGCTTCATAGAGGTGTTACAGGGTTAAATACAATAACATTTTTGAAGTGTTCAGATATTAAGTTCTTGGATAGAGCTAGAAAATAACTGATTGGTAATACTGGGTAGATACATGAATGATATTTGGATCAATTTGGATCAGCTGCCCAGCAGGCCTAGGACCTTTCAATTTAGGCCACCTTCCTTCAACAGCCTTCCCTTATTTGGCATTACTGGGTAAGGGACATAGCATATATTTTTCGTGGTTTGCACTCTCACTTTTTGAAGTTTATAGCAGTCATCTAGCTTTTTGTCTCCTCTCAGATCTTCAGAGGGCAAATCAACATGCTTAATGCTTGTTAATTTCAGGTAGAATTCTTCTTGAGGGTGGACTGACCACCTCCTCAACCTACTCCCATTCAAGCAGGAAAATGAATCATTAATTTCTAGGAAGAGCTTCACTGCTCCTGGCTTGTTAATGTGGCATAGTCTAAGGGTTTTAAAAGGCCATGGATATCTCTTACTTGTGCTAAGATGATCTACAATAAGAATTTGTATTGGTATGCTTATATTATGGTTTAACTTTTTTGTTTTGTTTTAAAAATGTTGTGTTTCTAATTTACATTCTTAAAGCAAGATATTTTAATTGTTTTGGAAGAATATTGTTATTTAATTTACAGGGTATAGAAAGAATTCTTGATATTCAGAAAGAAATGATGTGGTTACTGGAGCCTGCATGCAAAGCGGTAAGATATACGTTCCATTTTATATAATGACTTGTGAAAATTACTACTTGTGAAGCTTCTACTGTATTGTTCACCTGACCTCTCCAGCACTGAACATATTATTTAGTATTTAATAATCATATCTGTTGTCTGCGTAACGTGGGCCATATATCACATTTCTCACTTGGTTTTGCAGCATGGTATAGCAAGTGTGTGTGCGCATTTCACATGCACAAGGCACCACTTAATCTGCAGCAGGAATGTAGAATAGAACATTTTCATAAACATAGGAGGACTAGCCAAGAAAAAATAAATAGGAAAAAATAAAATAGGACAGACCAATATAAGTTCAATGTAAAATAAGTGACCCTGATCCTGCCAAGTCTTGCACATACATTTAATTTCCTGCACTGAAGTTTTACACTGAAGTCAGTGAACAGCATGTAGTACTGATGCTTCTAGTAGAGTCCAGATTTACATTTTTGGGTATATATATGCTGTTGGAGCAGAAGGTGAGAGGCCTCTGGGAGAGAGCAGCAGTTGAGATGACACACACACACTTCATGGAAATGAACATTTGGCAATGTGTTGATGATTTCTTATGTAATAACAAATCAACATAGCTGTTTTATGTTGTATACAGAATCCTTTTTTTTGGTGCATTTTTCTAAATACTTGGGGGGGCGGGGGGCTTCCTAACCCTGCATGCAAGGTTACTTGAACAAAAGTTGATCTACTCATTCTTTGCTTTCTGTCTGAAATCTCTACATATTTCTTGAATTTTCCCAAACAATCAGTTTCATCGCTTTGTTTTGTTTTCCACCCCCCTGCAAACAGTCCAGCCCTCAGCTAGCAGACAGTAAAAAAGGCAGTGCACGTAACACAGGGAAGAAAGCTCCGGTAAGATAACAAATCTTATTCTTCTAGAGGATTATCTTCAAGAACAGGGAATTACTACGTTATTAGTATGAAGTTACAGTACTAAATTATTATGTGTGACCTTAATGAAAAGCCCCAAGTCAAGACTTAAATTTCAAATATTACACATTTTATACCCTCAAGTAGGGAGGTAGACTCTGTTGGCTATGCTTACTTGGAAGCTCCATGTGAGGGGCAAAACAGTAGGCCAAAATATTGCTCACTGGTAATTGTTATTGTGGAACTAGGTTCATTTTACCTGCTATTCATTTTGGCCTGGGTGAGCACTCAGGGCCTGCCTTGCCCACCAGAGCCGGGATGGAGCTTCCCATTGTCTTCCTGCCCTGGACAGCCATGGCAACTAGAAGCAGAACATAGGGGTGCCTGTTGCCCAGCCAGGACAGCACTCCCATGGCTCCCGAACTGGGCAAGCTACTTTCTTGTCCTTGAAGGCCAGAGCAGCAGGGAGCAGAAGTGGGGGGGATTGCTGTCTGCAAGGTAGGGGTTGTGTATCAACATGCATGGAGGGGATAAGAATGAAGGTTCCTCGGCTGCTGGCAGTTCCATGGCATCTATTTTCAGCTCTCAGTGGTCCTCAGAAGATAGTGGACTATAGGCAGAGAGAGAGAGCAAGCAGTATGAACCGCCTTGGAAAATGCAGTGTGGAACATTTCCTGGTATACCTCAAATCCTCTGTTTCTTTGTATCCACAAAATCTGCAGATGATGCTGTGTTTACACAACCAGGTTTTCAAAATAATTGGTGTTAATGCCATGCTGGCTTTGCTCCTTACCTCAAGACATTTGTAGAGTTATTGGTTTATTGTGATCATTTCCATGCTGTAAAAAAGAGAGGGATGAGATGTTTTTAAATAGCCTATCCCTCTGTGACTAACAATGTTAGGTAGCTACTGTTTTTCCTGGACTCACCATGACATGAGTTTCCTCTTCTCTCTGAAGCAACAAACTAAAAATAAAACTTCTAAAGATGGGGATAAACAAGAATTAATCATTTTTTGCAAATCAATCTTCCATTTACTTTAGTGGAATCTGGGCAGCTATAGGACTGAATCTTGAATAAATAAAAGGAGTTATGTTAGTTTAATTTCTGTTTGAAAAACAGGAAAAGTGGCAAATAGAAAACTGGATGAGAAAAGGAAATTATACTGTATTGCTTCAACTTGAGTGTTAGAAATAATTTAAATTCAAAACTACTTAAGAACTTGCAATGTATTTCTGGGAAGAGTAATTTGGGGGCTTTTCCTTAAGACATTGAAGACTTTTTCACTCATATTTTCAGCCTGAAGTATTGATCAAATAATATTTTGAAAATTTTCTTTACAGCATATAAATCCCTATAATATATGCAAAGTCTATACACTATTTGATCAGAAATATATTTTTACTGATTTGTCACATTTTAAGTCATTCATAATAAGGAACTTTTGTCTTGCTTTTTTGCTATGGTTTTATTATTACTATCTTAGTGTTTGATGCTGCAAGATACTCATTTAGTCTATGGCTGTTCAAGACTGAGCTGAAAATCCCTGGTCCCTCCTAGTTGAACATAACTATTTCAAGGGGAAACACTAATTTTAGATTGTTTGTTTGCTTTACTTAAATAACAGGTCACAAGAAAGTGAAATCAAAAGAGTGAGCTTCAAATAAAGAATTGGGGAAAAAAACTTTTTATAGGACAAGACAACACACAGCCAACAAAGAGGTGTCACAGGAAAATGCAAACTTAAGCCCTATCCTGTAATTGGTAGTGCATGAGTGCAGCATTCCACTTGCATGCTGTCTTATGCAGGTTCAGAACATGGTTCCTAATGCTTAAAAAGATAGTTGAAGTGCTGGGGACAATTTATCAGGTATCCAAGTTGTAGCTGTATTGGTCTAGAGGCAAAAGGAATCAGAATTTGTGATAGAGGTGATATCTTTTATTAGACTAACTAGAATATTGCAAAAAAAAAAAATCTTTAATTGCAAGCTTTTGGGCACAAGCACCCTTCTTCAGGCATAGGAGAAGAGATTGTAAAAGTTCTCCTGGGTAGAAATGAAAGTTCATATTGCAGAGGAGAGTTAAAGGTGTGGTAAAAATCTCCTGTTTGGCACAGTTCAGTTTATGTAGATGAGACTCAGCAAAAAGTTGGAATGGCCTGTTTACCTCAAAGTTGTTTGGTGGCAAGCAGGATGCAGTCATATTTCCTTCTAGTTAGGATGTTTCATATTTCACAGAAGATGAAAAGGAAGGGATGCTCCTCTGGGCAGGGATTTCTTTTATGGTGAGGTGTCTCTGGGCTCTGTGATGATGTAAATTACCTCGAACAAAGGCAGGAGCAAGGTCACAGGTTTCAGGTGGTAAAGCTTGCTTCCTCCTTGTAAAATTATGAAGATTTCATTTTTAAAATATCGGCTAAAATTTGCCATCTTCCATGTGTCAGGTATCCAAGTTGTAGCTATATTGGTCTAAAGGCAAAAGGAATCAGAACTTGTGGTAGAGGAGATATATGCACATGCACAGTCACCCCTACCACGAGTTCCGATTCCTTTTGCCTCTAGACCAATACAACTACAACCTGCATACCCGACATATGGAAGACAGCACATTTTAGCCAATTTTTAAATGAAATCTTCATAATTTTACAAGGAGGAAGCAAGTTTTACTACCTGAACCTGCGACGCTGCTCCTGGCTTCGTTCGAGGTAATTTGCAGCATCGTAGAGCCCAGAGACACCTCACCATAGAAGAAATCCCTGCCCAGAGGAGCATCCCTTCCTTTTCGTCTTCTGTGAAATATGAAACATCCTAACCAGAAGGAAATATGACTTGCCACCAAACAACTTCGAGATAAACAGACTATTCCAACTTTTCTCTGAGCCTAACCTGCATAAAATGAACTCTGCCAAACAGGGGACAGTTTATTTCACTTGTGTTTGTCTTGGACAGCAATGTGTTTTTCATAATAATCTGACCCATCTCACCAAATTTCATATATGGGTAGCCTTTTTTTGTAGTTAGGCACTCTTCCTTTTAGGTCTTATCTTCCCCAAACCTCTTGAGTTTAGGCAGAAAAATTCTGTTGCTATCCAAATAACTCTTCCTCAGCAGAATCTGGGACTATATCCTGCTGAGTTACCTTGGCAACCTCATGATGTCATTCTTTGGAATCCAAGGTCTGCAGATCTTGTAGTTATTTAAATCAATTATACTGGGCCCTGGTAGGCAGCAGTACCAGTTTATCAGACTAAGACTTCAGCTGTACCAGTGAGTACTAGTGCCCTCTTTTCGTCCTCCTGTCTACCCTGATAAGAAACACGGGTTCCCCAAATGGGGGACTCCAGGTTCTACACAAGGCTTTACATAAAGGCAGCAGGGGAGCCTAAGGCTCCGAGTTTGCAGTACCTGTATCTGTGGTTAGAAGTAATTCATTTGGTACATAACATTCACAGCAGTACTTTATAGAAACTTTCACAACTTTTACATCAAATTAAAGCAAAGCAAAGCAGAAACATTACATCCATGTCTGGCTACTGCATGCCCATGTAATCTTGATTCTCAACAAGAGAATCATAACACAGCTATATTTCCCTTCCTAAATTGAGTCAGGATGACTTGAAAAGCCTGCACTTCCTGTTGACTACTCCAAAGGTGCCATATTAGGTTTGTGGAACAGGATAACTGAGTAGGAAGAGATTTATAAAAGTGAAGGAAAGGATGGTGTGAAAAAGGAGCAATCAGTCAGTAATGGGAACTTTTGCACAGCATTCACCACATCATAGGGGAGGCTGTCTTTGGAATCTCCTCTTTCATTTACATCTCCTTTCATTCTTTTGTCAATTACCATATTAAAAAAGTTGTATTTGAAGAGTCCTTGCAAAATTTTAGGAATTGTTAATAAGAAAACTGTAAATAAGAAGAGCCAGAACTGTGGGCATTTATACATATACTTTTTGGTCCTGCGATGTGCTGGAGATCCGCCACTTTGGAGCAGACTCGATTAATCAAGTCTGCTTTGCATGTGAGGTGATGTGCACTGCGCCAGTATCAGTGGCAAGTTGTGCATCAGCACGCAGAAAATGGTAGTGGCACACTTTTAAACTAAAGCACCTCCAGTGTCTTCTAGTTCGAAAGCATGCCGCTGCCATTTTCTCAGCGCTGATGCACATTTGCCACTTACACAACTGCAAGCACCACAGCGCTGAGCACTTTTCAAAGCAAAGTGTGTGTATGTAAACAAATGCCCTGTGTGAGCAGTCTTTGGGAACGTGTGTGTGTGTG